CAGTATCACTACGAAAGTATGATTGCCCAACCTTCCTTCCGAGGAGTGGCTGGTGGGTTTGAACCGCCAGCCTTCTGGTTAGCAGTCAAGTACTTTAGCCACTATGCTACCAGAGCTCCTAATAAATTCCTCTAGGTTCATTAAAATCTAGCCAAGCACACTTTTCCTTGTCTTAAGAGGTTTTATTCTTCCCTATCTTTAATTTTCAGTTTTTGCTTTCCAAAAAAAACAAAACTAAACACTGCCATCCATTCAATTTCAACTCAAAGCAACTCCCTTTTGGTTTCCAAGGCAGTAAAATCTTTACAGAAAAAGACTGCCCAGTATTCCCTATGCAGAGTGGGTGGTGGGTTTGGATGCTGGGTTTGAACTTCCAGCCATCTGGTGAGCAGTCAAATCCCTTAAGTACTACACCATCAGAGCTACTTGTAGTTCTGATAATATGCTATTTCAATTTTCAAAATCCATTCCTTCACTTTTTTGAAATTCTTTCCTTCAAAATCACTTGTTTTGCTCAAAAAATAGAGAAGCATTTCCTCCGTTAATGTAATGTGTGTACAAAAGCAAAAATCTTCCTATGTTGTTTTTTTTCTTGAATATTTTACTGAAGTATGCTAACTTTATCATATGAGATTGATAGTTTTCATTTTTTCTTTTTGTTTTAGATATTTATGTTTGTGAGGTGATAAGATCATAAATTCCTTAATTTTTATTAGAACTTATTTCTTTTTTGTTTCCTTTATAAAAAAGCTTATTCCTTCACAGTCATGGACAAAAGAGTATGAAATTTGTCTCTGAAAGGAAAGTTTGAAGTTGTCAAAAGAAGAGAAAAAGACCAGCAAGGAAGCTGTAATTAAGTTCAAGTGTGGCAAAATCCACACTGACTCAATTATGAAAGACAAGGATAAAACAGTTGAAAAAGACATGAGCAGCACCAATGTAAATGTCAAGAAAGGAAAGGATGGAAATGATGCAAAAATCATCAAATCTGTTTTGGAGTGGTTCTTCAAGCCTCTGCCAAAATTTTTCCCATTTCAGGACCTATCTTATAAGTAAAGGCAAAGGGAACAGTGAAACTTTAAAAAGTTTATGGATTCTCAGCATCTAGCAGGTGGCTTCAGAGTTTCAATAAGAAACCTAGAATCACTTGCAGTATAGTTTGTGGGAAGTCAAACGATGTTGACAGAGATGTTGTTCAAAACTGCTTCACAAAATTAAAAGACATCATAAAAGGAAATGATCCTAAAGGCACTGCAAACACCAATGAGACTGCTCTATTTCACACAGCACTGCCTAATAGGACTCTGAAAATGAAGAGGAAAAAGTGCTCACAGGGTCACTTTTCAAAAGAGCAGCTTATCCTCTTGATCATACTTGCAAATGGATAACTGGAAAGAGTAAGAAACCAGGGTGCTTCAAGAACACCAAAATTAATCAGCTTTCAGTAGAATGGAAATGGAATAAAGAGGCTTGGATCATGGGAGCAATTTACAAACAGTTTTCAAATAAACTCAACAATAGCCTGAAAAAACAAAATCAAAGTTTTCTCTTATTCATTGGCAATGTTACTTGTCATGAGTCACTGCCCCTGTACAATACTAAATTTTTTTCCCACCAACCATGACACTGGTCTTACAACATCTAGATAACAGCATTATCTAAGATACTAAACTAAAGGAAGCTACTGCTTCAAAAAACAGTTGCCAACTTTCAGATGTGCAAGGTGCCCTTAGAGACACTGGGGAAAATCAATGTCCTTGATGCAATTTCATTTCTTAAGTGATCAAAATGATTAAGGAAGAAACCATAAGAAAATGATTAAAGAACTGTGGTTTCTTATTGGGCAGTGGTGATAGTATACAAAATGAAAGTTATTGAGCCCAATAATATCATGCAGATTCAGGACACAATAAATGAAATTTATAGTGGTATTTCAGAAAATAGGGTTTGTGCCACATCTTCCATTGCTATTAACAAAGAAATTTCCACAGAAATGGATAATATAAACCTGCAAGAAATTGTGGACTTGTAATCTAAAAATGAAGATGATGAAGACCAACCATTAGAAGAGCCTGAGCCTTTAAGTCAAACATAAACCTGAGCGATATAAAAGCTTTGAAGAAATTTGGAAAAGTTAAAGGAGACCAAGAATTTTTTGGTAAGGCTACAGACTTAGAAATTTGTCTCAATAATTTCATCAAAAACTGAATCGATGTCAGCTGTTTTTATCTAAAAGTAAATGTTACCCCATCTTTGCATATATGTATATATCTGTATATAATCTGAATAAACATACAAATCCTAAGAAGTGGTTTTGCTTATTTTTCAGTCCTATAAAATCAAAAGGAAACACTTTGTGGGTTTTTATGAGGTAGGATCCTTAATAGAGAGTGAAAGAAAAGTGGTAAGACTGCACTCTGTCAAAAGTAGAAACTTTGCGAGACCCAGAAAAGCAAGCAGTCCCTTCAAGTTCGGCCTCTCACAGGTTTCACCCTGCAGAGCAGTCACACAGTAACTCTTGCCCTGCTTTGCTATTTGTCAGGATGTGTAGGCTTTTTATTCTATTGTTGTACATATTGCATTCCACATCCTTACACTCTGATCCAAAGAATGCCAATATTAATATTTTTTCTACCATCCATAACATTGGTCTAGAATCCCTGTTGCTTAGTAAGGTATGATGGAAAGAACTCTAACTGGCCTGGGAATCAAAAGTCCCAGATGCTTATCCCAGTTCTGTCACTAGATATGGGGCAAGTCATTGATGTTTTGGGGATCCAGTTTCCTTCTCTGCAAATAAATGAGGTTAAATGACCATCTCTAAGGCTCATCTTTCAGAACAAAAACATGACATGCTTTAATATAGCAGAGCTTCTAATATAAACCCTCTCATCAAAGCACTAGAGTATGCTTATTAAAAGCATAAGAAGTAACACTCTACAATATTACCTACATTAGCATATACCCAATTTAAATTAAAAAATTGAGCAGAGAAACCAATGAGAAACTTGTTGAATTTAGAATATTAAAAGGTTAGGCCAGGAAAGACCCCTTCAACCATTCCCTTTTGTAGATATACAAAAGAGAAGATCCAGAAGGTAAGGTGGAAAGAGATGTTGTAAGTCAGAAACCTGAGGTTAATCCAAGGTCTACCACTAATTAGGTGATCTTGGTTAAATCCTCAACCTCTTTGAAACTGAATTGATCAAAACAGGAAAATAATATCAACTTCTTGTTATGAGACTCAAATATGAAAATGTATTTAAGTTTTCTATAAACTGAGAAAAATCATTATACAATTTTGGTTATTAGCAACCCATAGTCACATAGCTATCTGACACCAGAGGCAGGACAAGAACACAGAAATAAATCTTAGTGTAGTGTTTTCCACTCTACCAATGATTATATTCCCTTCTCTAGTGGAACCTTGCTCTCCTTTTGTCCTTCTCTTTCACATACAATATATATGCAAAGTATAACACTTTGAAAAATAATCTCGTTTTTAACTCTACCACTTCTTTATCTCTAATTTGTTCTCATGATAATTCCTAGTTTTTAGTAAGAATGCAAGCAGATGGTGCCTAAATTTATAGATAATTAATTCACTTTGTTTAATGATGGGTTGGTATATGAGAATAAATAAATGTTCGCTGAATATAAATGACTAAAATGGGCTAAGAAGTTATTGGTAAACAAAGGTGGGCATAATTTCACATCTTTAAATCATCATTCTTTGAATTGATCTGAAAAGTTACCTGACTTTATTGGTTCAAATATATAAGGAGTACAGTATGTCATAAAAGTACTAAATGAAATATTTGGTCAAAATTTCCCTCAATTTTGAAACTCCACAAAAAGGTCTAGTCTACCTCAAATTACAAAGAAAGGAAATGCAAGTACTTACAATGCCAGTGTCACACAAAGGAACAATGGACCCCATAGATCCCCTACAAGTCAAGAAAAGAAAGAAGATTGCTAAGAAAAAAAAAAAAAGTGTTTTCTCCCTTTATTCCAATTATCTCTTCTCCCACTCTTGAAATTTAGATCAAGGTTCTGTCACCCCAAACCAGCCTTCCTACTTCTCCAATCCCTCTACTTCCCTCCCTACTCCCCATTTCTGAATAAACTTCTTTGCCTTTATGTATGAGAAGTTTTATTCACTTCATATATAACAAATCACCTCTCTTCCAATCAACTAAGTCACATTCTGGCACGCTGTAGTTAAAGACCAATGGAGAAGGAACCAAAGATCTAACTAAGTGCCCTCCACCCACCCTCAGGAAGAATATAACCAAGTCACTTCACCAATTTGAGCCTACCTTAGACAAGACAAGTATTATCATGCTCCTTTCATGAATATGAAAAACAAAACTGAGAAGGAAATGATGTGCCTAAGGCTATATAAAGTTAGAGGTGGAGCTGGGACCAGAACATATGTCTTCTGATTCCTAGTCCATAGTTCTTTGTACTCTGTAACACTGCGTCCCTTTTGTAATTGTTGCATTGTACCAATATAGTATTGCTGCTCTTACAGGTTAAAAATAGTCCAATACTGGTAATTTCATAAGGTTCAATTTGAATAGATAACATGTGAAAGTTTTTTTTAAAAAATATAAAAGGTTATGCCAACATGTGGTCTAGCACACAATGCCTCTCAATCAATAGTTGAGTGATTGATTAGTATGCCAACAGTTTAGTCACACACAGCTTAGAGCACAATGACCCTGTGAAAAAAGGTATATATCCCACACTTAACTTTAATTTCACTTGTATACAAATTTACCTGAGAACTATGCATACATACATACTTCCAATGTATTTTTTAAATTGTCTAAATAATTCTGAAATCACTGCAGAAAGTTTGAAAAAGAGGTAAAAAAAAAAATCCTGACACTCTAATAAAACTATTGTCATTCTTACTTTTTTTTTTTTCAAACTTACCAGGTGTGGCAGGAATTGTGTCCCCCCAAAATAGGTGTCAGTTTGCCTGGGCCATAATTCTAAGTGGTTTGGCAGTTATGAAATGAGGTAATTTGGCAGTTATATAATGATGTAATCACTTCCCATGATCTGATCTTATGTGATAAGCCAACTAGCTGTAAGATGATTAAGGTGGGAGGCAACATTCTTAATCAGGTCATAGACCTGATCTGATGTAAGGGGAGATTACCTGGGGTGTGGCCCACATCACCTTTTATCTTACAAGAGATAAAGAAGAGAGAAGCAAGCAGAAAAGGAGGGACATGCCAACTACCAAAAACAAGAGCCAGGAGCAAAGATGTCCTTTGGAACCAGTCTCCTTGTGTTGAGAACCTCCTAGACCCAAGGGAATATTGATGCCAAAACTGATGTAGATCTCCAAGAAATGCTGGGCCTACAGATGCTGAAAGGAGCCAACAGAGAGAGAAAGCTTTCCTCTAGAGCTGGTGCCCTGAATTTGAACTTCTAGCCTCCTAAACTGTGAGAAAATAAATTTGTTTGTTAAAGCCATCCATTTGTATTTCTGTTATTAGCACCACTAAATAATTAAGACAGGCTGAAAAACTGAGTTCAAGTGCAATGACCTTAATAGTGTTTTTTACTGTACTGAACTTTTTTTAATTCATAAAAAATCCATAACAGTATTTTGAAACTACTTTTTAAGTCATGGATTTTTCCTTACGACTTTGCCAAGGGCTATTATAACAGAGTAGAGTGAAAGTGTAATTCTCTGGCCATGCCTTGCTCAGCCTTTGTGCTAGCTTATCCATCTATCACAAGGTTTAGGAATAGAACTTACCATACATATGAGATAGCCAATACTCATCATTAATCAGCAAACTAACACACTGGCACCATAATAACATGCATTTTCATGTTGTACCCTGAGTAGATCATATCTTAATTCGCATTGTGACTGGAGCAACTTTGGTTTGAATAAGTCTCAGCAGCAGCTGAAAGGCCATTTTCCTATCTGGGGCAACAGGAGTAAAGCGGAAAGGGCATTAAATTCAGTTTTAATCCTGCCTGTAGGATCTTAGCAAGACAATCAGCTTCTCTTAGACTCATTTTCTTCATCTATGAAATAGGAATAATATTCCCTACCTCATAAGCCTGTTGTATGGATTAAAGAAGATAATGTGTTTTGGGGGAAAGGGTACTAGAATAATAGCTACAATCTATAGACTGCCTACTAAATGCTGGATGCTGTGCTAGGTGACATATATGCATTATAATCGCTAATCTTCACCAGCAAGGTAGAACTGCTCCATAGGGGTTTCAAGGCAGATCACCAGGCCTACATCTTTGGGTGGGTTTGAACTACCAAACTTGTAGCTAGCAGTCAAGTACATAACCACCCAGGGACTCTTCACCAGCAAGTTATATGTTATTATCTCTATTCTTGTCAGTTTATTGTACTGTGGTGGCTTGTATGTTGCTGTAAGGCTGGAGGCTATACCACTGGTACTTCAAATACCAGCAGAGTCACTCATGATGGACAGGTTTCAGTGGAGCTTCCAGACTAAGAAAGACTCAGAAGAAGGGACCATACACTTCTCAAAGAACTGGCCAGTGAAAACCTTATGAATAACAGTGAAACACTGCCTGATGTATTACTGGAAAACTTTATGAACAGCCCTGAAACACTGTCCCATATAGTGCTGGAAGATGAGCACCTCAGGTCAGAAGGCACTCAAAATACAACTGGGGAAGAGGAGCCTCCTCAGAGTAGAGCTGACCTTAATGATGTAGATAGAGTAGAGCTTTCAGGACCTCTGTTTGCTGATGTTGCACAACTCAAAATGGGAAGAAACAGCTGCAAACATCCATTAATAATCAGAACATGGAATGTACAAAGTATGAATATAGGAAAAAATGGAAGTTGTCAAAATGAAATGAAACACAAAAAGATCGATATCCTAGGCATCAGTGAGCTGAAATGGACTAGTTTTGACCATTTTAAATCAGACAACCTTATGAGCTACTATGCCGGGAATTATAAATTGAAGAGGAATGGTGTGGCATTCATCGTCACAAAGAATGTTTCAAGATCTATCCTGAACTACAGTGCTATCAGTGATAGGATAATATCCATACGCCTAAAAGGAAGACCAGTGAATACTACTATTATTCAAATTTACGCAGCAACCACCAAAGCTGAAGGTGAGGAAACTGAAGATTTTTACCAACTTCTGCAGTCTAAAATTGACCAAAAATGCAATCAAGATGTGTTAATTATCACTTGTGATTGGAATGCAAAGTTGGAAACAAAGAAGAATCACCAGTAGTTGGAAAATAAGGCTTTGGTGATAGGAATAATGCTGGAGATCTCATGATAGAATTTTGGAAGACCAATGACTTATTCCTTGCAAATACCTTTTTTCAACACAAATGGGGGCTATACACATGGAGTTCACCAGATGGAGTACACAGGAATCAGATCAACTACAACTGTGGCAAGAGGCAATGGAGAAGCTCAATATCTTTAGCCAAAACAAGGCCAGCAGCTGACTGTGGAATAAACCATCACCTGCACATATTCAAGTTCAAGTTAAAGCTGAAGACAATTAAAACAAGTCCACAAGAGCCAAAATATGGCCTTGATTATATCCCTCCTGAATTTAGAGACCATTTAAAGAACAGATCTGATGCACTGAACACATGACCGAAAACCAGGGGAGTTATGAGATGACATCAAGAACATCATTCATGAAGAAAGTAAAAGGTCATTAAAAAGATAGGAAAGGAAGAAAAGACCAAAATGGATGTCAGAAGAGACTGTGAAACTTGCTCTTGAAGGGAGAGTAACTAAAGCAAATGGAAGAATGTACAAGATAAAAGATAAAATTATAATGAAATGTGCAAAGACCTGGAGTTAGAAAACCAAAAGGGAAGAACCTTCTCCGCATTTCTAAAGCTGAAAGAATGGAAGAAAAAAATTCAAGCCTCAAGTTTCAATATTGAAAGATTCTTTGGGCAAAATATTGAATGATGCAGGAAACATCAAAAGAAGATGGAAGGGATACAAAGTCGCTGTACCAAAAAGAAATGGTTGGTGTTCATCCATTTTAGGAGGTGGCATATAATCAAGAACCAATGGTATTGAAGGAAGAAGTTGAAGCTAAAGGAATTGGCAAAAAACAAGGCTCCAGGAATTGACGAAATACCCACTGAGATGTTTCAGTAAACGGATGTCATGCTAGAGGCACTCACTCACCTATGCCAAGAAATTTGGAAGACATCTACCTGGCCAACTGACTGGAAGAGATCCGTATTCATACCAATTACAAAGAAAGGTGATCCCACAGAATGTGGAAATTATCAAACAAGATCATTGATACCACACACAAGTAAAATCTTACTGAAGATAATTCAAAAATGGTTGCAGCAATATAATGGAAGCAGAGAATATCAGAAAGATGTTTACTTGTGTTTCATTACTATGCAAAAGCATTCAATTTTGTGGATCATAACAAATTATGAATAACATGTAGAAGCATGGGAATTCCAGAACACT